TTAACATGTTAATGTTTGATATGGCATTTAAATTGCCTGACCATAAGCCACTTAGAGTCACCTCAGGGAAATGGACAGCATAGAAGAAGTCAGACAGACAGACAGATATGGATGGATGGATGGATGGATGGATGGATGGATGGATAGATAGATAGATAGATAGATAGATAGATAGATAGATAGATAGATAGATAGATATGGATGGTTGGATGGATGGATGGATGGATGGATGGATGGATAGAAAGATAGATAGGTAGATGATAGATAGATAGGATAGATAGATAGATAGATAGATAGATAGATAGATAGATAGATATGGTTGGATGGATGGATGGATGGATAGATGATGGATAGATATGGATAGATAGATATGGATGGATGGATAAAGAGAGAGACAGATAGACAGACAATGTTTTCCCTACAGTAAATTGCTTTGAGTGCTTTTTAGCAAAGGGATTTTTAGACTGCCCATATACCACAACAAGAACTCCTTCATGGGAGTTGGCTATAGCTCAGTCAGCCTTCACATTTAATTAATTCTTATACTTAAAACTCTTCCTCTCCCCCAGGAGATTCAAGATTAGGCACACAGGTGTTATCACTTCCAGTAAATCAAGGGTTGCTTAGGTGTCAAAACAGACTCTTCTATGTCAAGAGAAAGCACTGAAAAAAGAAGCCCCCTAAGCTAATATTACCCACCAAAAGCTGACAATCCCAAGAGGCGTTATTAATTATCCCAGGACAGAGAAAGTTAAAAGCTTACTTTTCCTGTTTATAATCAAAAATTCTGATGATGGTAATTTTTTTTTTTTTTGAGTGCCAGGCTTTTTTAGAGGGGTGGGAGGGGAAATCGGGGAGTATATCCAGATCTGAGAAATTCTATTCAGCTTGCAATTTCCTGCCTTTTCAAAGGCAAGAATCCAATAACATGAATTGTGTCATCTAGTTCTGGTCTTTTTTTTTTTATTGTAGCTTCACAGGTCAAGATGTGTATGACTACTAGGCTGCAATAGCTGTATAAGCCTTAATGCTTATCCGTTCCTCTGGAAACTATATGCAGCTGTATAATCTAGCATTCTACCCTTCTTCTCCTTTCGTTTGAAAGCATGGGATAGGTATTCGTAGCAGGGGAATAAAGCATTAAGCATACAAAAAGCATAGAAAAACCAATCCTTTGTAATTTTAGCTGACATATTAGCTAAATCGTATCTCACTGTGCTGTCTGAAAAATCAAAATGATGTTCCAGGTTGGATCAGATTGATTGAAAGTGAGTTGCAGCTACACAAAAACATACAAATGCTCCAGAGAGAAGAAAACCAAATCCTAAATTAAATGCTGTTTGTTTACTGGTGGATCAGAATCTCAATACCAGGAAATCCTTCAGCTCAGGGATGGAGGTTCGCAGGGGTTCGGGAGAACCTCTAGCTAAGATTCTGTGCAGTTCGGAGAACCCCCAAATCCCCCAAATCCCACTCCTGGCTGGCCCCGCTCCGCCCAACCTGCCCCACCCCTCCCAGGAGTCCCCACAACCAAGAGTCTTGCTAGTACAGTGGTTTAATGCACCCTGTTATTAACACAGCTGCCTGCAATTTCTGCAGGTTCGAATCTCTCCAAGGCTCAAGGTTGACTCAGCCTTCCATCCTTTCTAAAGTAGGTAAATTGAGGACCCAGTTTGTGGGGGCAATAAGCTGACTTTGTATAAATATACAAAAGGATGAAGGCTATTTCTGAGCACATTGTAAGCCGCCCTGAGTCTCCGGAGAAGGGCGGCATATAAATCAAATTTTAAAAAAAAACAGCCCGTTTTGGATGCAGGTAAATGCAGGGTGCACACAGAGGCTCAGGGAGAGCGAAGCACATTCCATGCTTATCTCTCTCAAGGCTATATCCCAGGGTTACCTACAGCAGCCGAGGGGAGACAAACCATGAAATTGCTCCGTTGGCGAATGGGATTGATGACACACCCTGGGGGGAGGGGGGAAACAGGTTCATTATGGGAGTTTAAATTACGTAGGGTCAGAGCTGGCTTCACTTGGGAACATGCTGACATGAAGCTCCTAATAAATAACTGGATTTCTTTTGAAGCTTGGCTCGAGACTCATGTTTTAATTAGGGCATCATCGGAACCCTGACATTTACTTTTCACTCTTACAAACAACAGACCTTTTGACTTGCTATGAAAGATAATGGCACACTTATTTAAATTATCCTCCTAGTTGTCTGACTTAAGAGATCCAGGAAACAAATATAAACTGCAGCTCGTGGTATGGTTGATTTCTGATAATGGGACACTCGCTATAAAAAGGCCATCTCAAAATTTCCGCAGACTGGAACTTGTAGTCAGCTCGTTAGAATCCCAACCCACTGCCAAGCACCAGGGAAATCAGGAGATTTCAGGCAGTTCAAATGAGCCTAAAGATTTATTGTAAGCTTAAAGCTCTCTACAAGAATCTGGCCAACTAACAGTCAAGAGAAATGAGCGGGAGATAAGAAGGGCATTCAAAGTGGGCTTAGATCTCTTGCAGGAGAGCAGGGACCCGTATGACAATTTGAGCCCTTTCTTGGGCTCAGCCTGGTCATCTCTTACACCCACTGCAATCCCACCAACTTTCAATTGGTGCAGGGAAATATACAAAGAGCACAATGGACTTTAAAAAAAAAAAAGACAGATTTTCATCTATAGCAGCAATGAAGCAGAGCTCTTTGTTTTATCAGTATGTTTTATCCATTTACTAGAGCGAGCATCAAAAGCTATCCCAACTTAATGCCCCGAGGTACCCAGATTCCAGTTCCTGCAAAGTATGTAAAAGAGACAAACAATAAAGTGATGGATCATCAGGGGAACTTAATGAAATTTGAGCAGAAATCAGAAGTAATTTATCAGAGAGCTATTCACTGTAGAAAAACAAGCTAGCATGAGGGATTTTGAGAAATAAAGAGAAATAAGCTCTTTGTATAGTTGAGAAATAACTCAAATAATGGGGAATTCAGAGTGGTGAAATAAAAGGATTACTCTTGTCTGATTCTCATGGCATCCACATTTTCTTGTGTCAAAAAAAGATTTGTAGAGATATTCATGGCAAACCTCAGGAGAGAAAAATTTAAGCATTCTTGTCTTGTCCATATGTTGTCACTGCATCTATACAATAATTACTTAATCCCCCAAGCACAGACCAGCAATAAATCATACTGCAGGCCACATACCAAATCGTGGTGTTAACAATGTAATGAGACATATCCCAAATGTGTTATTTCAGCAATTCATTTTATTAATAATACTCTGTTAGCAAACCTTTGTAAAAAGGCAGCAAATGTTTTTTTGATTTGATGAGAAAAACTTAAATACTATAGCAGTGGCAAACTTAGAAAAGAAGTTTTCAGAACTAAAACAGGATAGCTATTGTATGTTCCCATATGGTTTCAACCAGACTAGGCTGAAGTTATAGTCATGAAAGCATGCTGATTTGTAGAAAATTAATAATCATCATGATTAATGTTAAGATTCCAAAGCCCAGGTTCAAGACCCGAGAGCCACGCGATGGGGTGAGCTCCTGTCCTCGCACCAGCTCCTGTCAACCTAGCGCTTCGAAAGCATGCAAATGCGAGTAGATAAATACCATATTTTTTGGAGTATAAGACGCACCGGGATATAAGACACACCTTAGTTTTTGGGGAGGAAAATAAGAAAAAAGTTGATTGGCAGGTGGATCGGCCTCCTGTAATATCCCCAATCAGTTGTTTCCAGAGGTGAATTTTAGCAACAGGTTTGTTGGTTGTGAGCTCTGTGCCTTGCTTTTTTTTTCTGCTTCTGAAACTTCTGAAACTCCGTTTCAGAAAAAAACTTTTTTTTCTGCCTCTGAAAGCCTCCAAAACAGAGCTTCTGAAGCTCTGTTTGGAGGCTTTTTTTCCTGAAGCTTCTTTCGGAGGCTTTTTTTCTGAAGGACTATCTGTACTCTGTTCAATCTCCTTTCTTTGGTATTGGTATATAAATTAACCTATTCCGATCTGTTGGTTATTGTGTCATTCTCCAGATTTGTTAGCATAGTTTGGTTAGAACCTTTACTGATTCTTCTTTTGTTGCTTGCCATATTATTTTAGATAAAAGCCTTTCAGAGGCTTTTTTTCTGAAGCTCTGTTTGGAGGTTTTTTTTCTGAAGCTTCTTTCAGAGGCTTTGTTCAGCCTCTGAAATCTCTGTTTCCGAGGCTGGGTGGGGCTACATTCGGAGTATAAGACTCAACCATATTTTCACCCTCTTTTTTTGGGGGGGGGGAAGGTGTGTCTTATACTCCAAAAAATACAGTAGGTACCACTTCAGTGAGAAGGTAACAGTGCTCCATGACGTCATGCTGGCCACATAACCATGGCAACATCTTCAGACAGTGTTGGCTCAATGGCCTTGAAACAAAGATGTACACCACTCCCTTTAGTTGACAACAACTAGCGGAGTAAAATCCACAGGGACTTCTTTACCAAAGCCAAGAAAGACACAGAGTTGTTTCTAAGCATCTTCCTTTGTTGTTCCTCACCTGTAGACAGAATCTTGCCAAACTAAAGGAAACTAATCATATCATTAAATCATACTTGACACTCTTCCTCCCAATCAAACTATTTAAACTGCATGTGTTTTCAGAGACACAACTCAAAAAAAAATTGAATGATGAAGATGGCAGCTGAATGATGAAATTCTACACGTGCCTCCTTGGAGCAAACTGTACTGAACTGAACTGAACTGTGAATAAGAATGTAGTCTTAAACTTTCAAAAGTAATGTTGCTAATAACAAAAAAATAATAATTTACGGAACCTGTACACTGTCTGATTCTCAACAACTCTGGGGGGCTCACAACTCTCAAAAGAAATGGCGATGCTACATGGAATAATTTTGAACCCGATGCGGAGTATTCAGAGTTTCTTTTACCTTAAAACACGGTTTAACACACAAGCTTGAAGGTATAGTCAATTTTTAAACTACATTCATTCTAATTACTCATGCATTTAGGAAGGCTCAAGGGAAGCAGATGCAAGTCCCAAGCCCACTCTACTCTAGCATTCTTCTATGTAAGTATTTTAAGTCTTTTTTTTTTTTTTAAAAAAAGTCACTTGATAATGTTCCTTTGTTTGTTGGAGGGTGATTTTGAACCACTAATCCTGGTCCATCATAATATCCCAAGCCCTAATTTTATTGTAATAGCCCAACAGCATAAATGTTTCTGCAACTAAAGAGAGGGTGCCTGAAAGAAAGGCAAATAATTAAAACTTCTGTACTCATTACTACAGGATAAATCCAGTAAGAATTCTCAGTTTGTTAATGACCTACAAAACTCATTCATCCAATGTCTAATCGCATCAATGGCACCATATTTAGTTGGGCCCTGGGCCAGATGTGATACTTGGAAAGTACATTGTTTAGAGGCAACCGGGCCCACCCTTCATCTATTCAGACTATTTGAGACTAAAATCACGGTTTTCTACATAGAGGTACACATTCAAAAAGTGCCAAACAGCACTGCGGTCTTGTATTAAGCTCCAGAACAATTTTCTTCCTGAGAGGTAGTTTATGCCTTCATTTATAGCAATCACTCAGTTATTCATGCATCCACACTGATCTTTAGCCAAAGACAATGTCATTTTTAACACTAAAAGGGAGTACCAAAAGAATATCCACAGTCAATTCTTTGTTCATTTTGACATGCATAGATTACATTTTACTGAGCACTTTCCTCTATAAATGGCAAGAAAAGTCAAATCTAAGGAGCAAAGCTTATACTGACTGAATGGGATTTGGGGGTGCATGTATATGTGCCTCGATGTTCCTTTAAAATGCCTCCAACATACATAGATATATAAAGAGGGGGGGGGAGAAAGGGAGACAGAGAGGAGAGGAGAGGAGAGGAGAGGAGAGGAGAGGAGAGGAGAGGAGAAGAGAAGAGAAGAGAAGAGAAGAGAAGAGAAGAGAAGAGAAGAGAAAATACCTGCTGCAAATTCCATATCGGTGTCAGGAAGGGCATCTGGCCAATAAAGGCACAGCTCTATCCAGTCGTCCTGACTTTTCCCTGAATTAAGGGATCACAGGTTCATAAAAAGGGGATAGATAGACAGACAGACAGACAGACAAGATACAGATACATAAGCACATGCCCTTATTTTAGAGAATGATAGCACGGTTTTCATGAATCAATGAAAATGTTTTGTATTTCTTTTCCGTCTAATCATCAAGCAAATCTTGGAATGCCGAAAGTCATAGGAACAATACCAGTTTTTACAAGCTAGTCTAACAATTGGGTGTATAACATCATGATAGGCCATGAATTGATCGATCATGATCTATCGAATAAACAACTGGTTGGATTTGCACATGTTAAGCTGTACTTTCTACACTGGCTCTATTACTTGATTACTACAGGTTAAACCCAAACTAAGCCAGCTCTACTGAAGTTTAATGTGTGAACCTCCCTGCATTTATTTAATTTCTCTTTCATTCAAGAGTGAAAGGTTGGATGGAGACAGAATGATGGGCCCAGAGCAGGGGTGAAATCCAGCAGGTTCTGGAGAACTGGTAGCAGAAATTTTGAGTAGTTCAGAGAACCGGCAAATACCACCTCTGAGTGGAGTGGGAATGGGGATTTTGCAATATCCTTCCCCCAGGAGTGGGGAAGGGATGAAGATTTTGTAGTATCTTCCCCTGCCATGCCCACCAAGCCACGCCCACCACGCCACACCAAGCCCACCAAGCCACGCCCACAGAACCGGTAGTAAAAAAAAAAATTGGATTTCACCACTAGTCATTCACTGAGCTTCTGTGAGCTTTGAAGTCAATGATGGCTCTCGTGATGTATGGCAAACAACCTTTTGAAACTAAGAAAAGTTGTAGAAATTGCTGTCGAGCACAGAATCCACAAACTGCCAGCAAAACAAACAAGAATCCATGGGTGCTGAGTTCTGACTGCTTATTTCAACTAGGTCCCTAAAGAAAAGCCAGTGTGTTTTAGAGTCACTTGATCCTCTCTCATCATTAACTGCTATTTCGTACCAGCACTCCTAACACAGAAAACCTCTACAAAACACTCTTTTTCTGGCACACCCTCATGCTGTTCAGTTAATCTCAGACAATCAATATCTTATAGTAGTTTCACCACCATCGTCATTAACAGACTAGCATGCTGACTTGTAAGCAGTTAAAACCACGAATATCGGTGTGTGCTTGTCTCTCTCTCTGTGTCTCAAGTGTGTCCTTGTGCATATGGAACATAAACCCACCGCTTTCTAAAGCAAAGGAACATATCTCCTGCTTCTTACTCGGCAAAGCTCTTCATTTTATTGGGCATCTGTTTATATTGAGGACAAGGAACTGGCATTAAAGTGAAATATGACATCCAGTAGGTCAGGCCAAGCTCAGTTTCTTGTCGGCTTATTCTTAGCAAATGTCCAAGGAATCTTTCAATGATATTGGGTTTTAGTTGGTCCTGCTTCTTACTCAGCAAAGCTCTTCATTTCATTGGACATCTGTTTATATTGAGGACAAGGAACTGGTATTAAAAGTAAAATACAACATCCAATAGGTCACACCAAGCTCAGTTTGGAAAAGCACGTCACAACATGCCTTCTTGTAGGCTTACTCTTAGTAGCAGCAAATGGCCAAGGAATCTTTCAATAATATTGGGTTCTACTTAGTCATCCAGGAAGCAGAAAGGATATATCAGTGGTGGGTTGCCCCCGGTTCAGACCGGTTCACATGAACCAGTAGTAAAACCGGCGGGAGGCTCCACCCACCAACCCGAATGTCATCATAGGTGATCTGCATTTGCTCCCGATGTGAACCGGTAGTAAAAGTAAGTAGAACCCACCCCTGGGATATATGGTTAGTCCCATCATCATCTAATAATAACTGCTCCATAGTTAGGAAAGTGAAATTCCAACCAAGTGGTTTGTGCCAAGACATCATCACGGCAACTAACAAAAGCTGCCGGGAGTACTGCATTCAGTTTTGGTTGCCACGATATAAAAAAGACTCTAGAAAGAGTGCAGAGAAGAGCAACAAAGATGATTAGGGGACTGGAGGCTAAAACATATAAGGAACGGTTGCAGGAACTGGGTATGTCTAGTTTGAGGAAAATAATGACTAAGGGAGACATGATAGCAACGTTCTAATATCTCAAGGCCGCCACAAAGAAGAGGGAGTCAAGCTATTCTCCAAAGCACCTGAGGGCAGGACAAGAAGCAATGAATGGAAACTAATCAAGGAGAGAAGCAACTTAGAACTAAGGAGAAATTTCCTGACAGTGAGAACGATTAATCGGTGGAACAATCTTCCTCCAGAAATTGTGAATGCTCCAACACTGGAAGTTTTTAAGAAGATGTTGGATAACCATTTGTCTGAAGTGGTGTAAGGTTTCTTGCCTAAACAGGGGGTCCAAGGTCCCTTCCAACTCTGTTATTCTATTCTATTCTATTCTATTCTATTCTATTCTATTCTATTCTATTCTATTCTATTCTATTCTATTCTATTCTATTCTATTAGAAGGGAACTGCAAATAATTCAGGCCTAAGTAGAACCCCCCCCCCCCAAATTCAGCCTCTTTCCGGTTCTTCCTTCTCCTAGTAGATCAGTCATGGATTACGGCTATCTCCAATCTTCCAAAAAAAAAAAAAAAAAGTCTTCAAATCTTTCCAAAGATGGACCCTGACATGGCTGCCTGTTTGGCTTTCAAGAGGCATCCTAACTTAGCTGTTCTATTTTCACATTCCCTGCTCTGGTCTCCGAAATCCAATTAGGATCTGTGTTGTTGAATCGAGGTTGAGGACAACAATTTTCTTAAAAAGAGGCATTGGGTCTACCTTTTACTTCTTGGCTCTTAAGAGAATGACATTTAATACTTTATGCATGGCATTATTTCCGCATCACCCTCTTCTTCTAACAACCACCAGAAGGGATGCTTGTCTAACACCTCAAGCATTCAAATTGCCTCAGGGGCTACAGAGGGAAAAGGAAAGGAGACTACTCAGTAAAGACGACCCAGCTAGAATTGGGATTTGCATTAAAGGAACCCCAACAACGTTCTGCTTTGTCTCTTGTTGCTGCTTTCTTTTAGGGAATGAGGGAGTGAAAGAGTTTCTTCCCTCACCCCTCCCAAATGTTCATGTATGGTGCATTCTCTGTTCCCATAAGAGCAAAGCCTCAGCGTACCAATCTCCAAAGCTAAAAAGGCTCTTCTAAAAAGATCTGAAAATGTCACAAACTTTTTTTTTTTATCAGTGACAGATATGCCTATTAAAGCGGATACCGCGAGATGGATGGATATGCCTATCAAAGCATTTTTTTAAAAAAGAAAAGAAAAGAAAAGGAAGACACATTTTATTAGCAAAAAAAATAAAATAATAAAAATCCAGCGCGCTGCTGTAACAGGTTACTATGGTTACTGTTTAACAAATCCAGCCCTCCACAGTCAAGTCAATTGTATGCCATAAACAGGACCAGAAATGAACATTTGAGGCATCTAAGCGCCACTCTTGCAAGACCAGAATTGTTCTCCTGTCTTTATGGACGTGGAGTCCTGTCAAAGGATCAGCAGATAATCTTCAGGCAGAGTTTTCTGAAATTGTTAACTGGAGACAATTCTTTCTCCCTGCAGCAGACTGCATTAAAATTGCAAGCGGGACTCAATTGGCATGCTGAAATTTGCAGTTGCTGGACAAAAACATTAAGGAAGTTGTTTTTTTTCCCCTTAATTTCTCAAAAGGAAGAAAAACAAACCCTAACAACTACTCAAACGTAGGCTCTCAGGAAGGGCGTATAATTATTAACAACACAGAGACACACACAAATAAATAAATGGAATGAATGAATGAATGAATGAATGAATGAATGAATGAAAAGAAATTCCAGAACAAAAATTGGAATTTGGGGAGGGTTTTCTTTTTAATTAAGTATAGAAATAGTGGGAGCATTCCTTTGCACAGAATACTAAGCAATTGAAGCATGTTAGTTTGTACTTCCACACAAGTACTCCTCACCTTATGACAATTGGGACGAGGCATTCCATTAAGTGAGATGTTGTAAGTTGAGGACTACTGGTACTGGAGAATACAATCTCAACACACTTGGTGCTTTGTGCTAAGAATGAAGGACCTTTATTATTTGTTACATTGATAACCCACTTACTTTTAATGAAACCTCCCCCCTATGGAAGGTAAATCGTGTCATTCTGGCTAAATTTGGCCTCATGAATTTATAAATTCGCCTTCCGAATTTTTCCAGGACCTATTCTAGAGATAATAAACTTCAGTTCTTGCTAAACTACAATACTCGGCATCTTCACCAGCGGAAGCAATACGCTACATGTTTTGTTTAAAATATTTGCTTGTTTGTTCATCCAATTTATTTGCCACCCCATTGTAGGATGTTAGCACCCACCCTCTCCTAGGAAAATGAAATATTCTAGGAAATATTAAAAAGGCAGAATATTATATTTCCCCGGATGAGAAATGGAGAAACATGTTTTTAGGCAAGAAACAGACTCACTCTTACCCTGTTTCCCCCAAAATAAGGCATTCCCTGATAATAAGCCCAATCGGGCTTTTGAGCTCCTGGCAATAAGGCCAAGCACTTATTTCAGAGTTCAAAAAAATATAGGACAGGGTCTTATTTTCGGGAAAACACGAGAATAGCCCCCACCATCCTCAATATCCAACAACAGATGTCAGCACTTAAGAGATAAAGAGATAGCTAGGTCTCTCCATAGGCAAATGCCCTCATCCAGATCCAACAAAGGTAGGATTAGCCCTCTACCCATCTAACAACAGAACTCACCACATGACACCTGGGGAGATTACATCATCATCTAGCAAGACTCAACCAAGCTTGGGACTCGGGACAGCCTACAGAGTTGCCCCTGCATGGCCCCATGGGAGTCTGACAACCAATCAGAATACAAGCTCAAATTCAAAACCCAACAGAGGGCATAAAACCAAGACACTCTCAGCATCTCTGCCCTTTTTCCTGCTCAGGAGCTCAAGCCATGGGAACCTGTTCATCATTAAACCATCTTTCCAAACAGTCTCCATGTTTCCAGTGTCTTTTTCTCCCCACTTGGAACTGAACCCAGAAGGATATTTTTTCCAACACCATCTTGCAGTTCAGGTGACTCTGAGTAGTAGATATCTCCACATTTAGCCACTCCTAAATGTCTTAATTCCATCCAATGACCTTTGCCAACCAGCATTCAATACTGAGCGTATATTAAGCTTCTATTTTTTGATCAAAGGACCCTGTTGTTAGTGCAGGGGAATTGTTTTCGCATCTATCTAGTTCAGAAAAGACCACCATGAGACACAAAGGGGTTAGGAACACACCAATTAGGCAGCAAAACATTTCAAACCAAAGAAAGAAAAGAAGTCCACTAAACTTACACAGATAACTCTACTTAGAAGACTTTAGAGACCACAAGAGAGGCATGAAGCTAATTTGGAAAGTACAAAAATGAATTCAGAGATGGTCCAAGTAGCTCTTTAGCAAGTGGGGACAGCAGAGAATGAGATGGCTGGATGGAGTCACTGAAGCAGTCGGCGTGAGCCTAAATGGACTCTGGGGGGATGGTAGAGGACAGGAAGGCCTGGAGGAACATTGTCCATGGGGTCGTGAAGGGTCAGACATGACTTTGCAACTAAGAGCAACAAACAATGTGGAGGTCCATCTTAGTCTGGAGAAGAACAACTCTACTAGAGCTTAAAAGGTAAAGGAAAAAGGTAAAGGTTCCCCTCGCACATATGTGCTAGTCGTTCCCGACTCTAGGGGGCAGTACTCATCTCCATTTCAAAGCCGAAGAGCCAGTCTCCGTGGTCATGTGGCTGGCACGACTAAACACCAAAGGTGCACGGAACGCTGTTACCTTCCCACCAAAGGTGATCCCTATTTTTCTACTTGCATTTTTTATGTGCTTTCAAACTGCTAGGTTGGCAGAAGCTGGGACAAGTAATGGGAGCTCATCCCGTTACACGGCACTAGGGATTCGAACCCCTGAACTGCCGACCTTTTGATCGACAAGCTCAGCGTCTTAGCCACTTAGTCCCACTCTACTAGAGCTTAGGGTTTCCTATTAAATACAATTGGTTCTGGATAGAACCCTTCCCAGAATGTCCCCCAAAAAATGAAGACGTTTTGTTCCCCCATAAGGTACACATTCCCAACCATCTTCCCTGTAAATAATACTTTCCTAATTTTGCTTTTGTAAAAGTCCTTATTGTGAACACTCCCAACAACTGCAACTGGAATCCACAGCTTATTGATTATGTCCCAAGAAGTTAGCGCGAACTCTCAGCCTCCCTACAGATCAACCTTCTTCTCCAGGATGATCTGGCTCCAACCGGATCCCTCAGGTCTTCCGACCCACAAGACAAATGGAGGGGGTTTTGCCACTTTCAGCAGAAATGCTTGCTAATTATTTTACCGTTTAGGAACTTATAGGGAAATCATAAAAAGTTGGAAAGGGCTCAGTGCAGAAGTTCAAAGCAAGACAGCCCTGACAGATGGTTGCCCAGCTTCTGCTCGAATTCATCCAGTAAAATGTAATTAGTTCCACTATCAGCAGTTGAAATCAGCAGGCAAAATACAACTGCACTATCCCAGAGGAAATGCATACAAGCTACCTTCAGAGACTGTGCTAAGTCACTGCTTGCTGAACCATGCTTGTTAATCAAGCCCTAATTGACTGAATTTACACAACACGCTAAGCCAAACCCAAACAAACTACACTGCAGCTTAGCGATGATACGTAAACCCAAATAACAAAGACATTGAACCCTTCTCGACTGGGTTAGTAATAATTAGCATTCCAAAACCTCCATGTGAAAGCAGGAAACGGCGAGTTTCAAAATGGTTCTCCAGCCTATGCCTTCCATTTATAAAGGTTTCCAATATTCATGAGAAAAAAAAAATCAGGTGTTGGATTGGCGAAACGCATGGGGTTAGCCCCACAAGGAAACAAATCGTGGCTCAGCCAAATAAGATGACTATTATTCATGCAGCCATTATGAATGTGCACAATTAGGTCTATGTTAAGCTGAATGCAAATGTTTTTGTGATTCCATAAATTATAAATGAAACTGGATTGTGTATTTCCAGCTATCTTCCATGCACTCCTCTCTCTCTCTCTCTCTCTCTCTCTCTCTCTCTCTCTCTCTCTCTCTCTGTGTGTGTGTGTGTGTGTGTATGTCTCCCTCTCTGTCTGTCTCTGTCTCTCTCTCTCTCTCTCTGTCTATGTCTCCCTCTCAGTCTGTGTCTCCGTCTCTGTCTCTGTCTCTCTGTCTGTCTGTCTCCATCTCTCTCTTTCTGTCTGTCTGTCTGTCTCTAACTCTCTGTCTATCTATATGTGTGTCTCCCTCTCCCTCTCCCTTTCCCTCTCTCTCTCTCTCTCTCCATACATTTTTATTTCTTGGAAAGGAAAACCAACAGCTTGTTTGAACATTGGCTGGCCCTGAATTCATGTACACAGAGAGGTAACTCACCACCTTAAAAAAAAAAACAACAGTTTGACTTTTTTGCTCCACCTACGGGCATTTGAAAAGGGAAGACAAGCTCTTTATTTGATTGCAATGACATGCCCCACATTCCTTAACTCTCCTTATTTCGAGGGAAGGCAGACCTGCGACTGAAGGAATTTCTGTACAAATTTGTACCAACCAAGGATAAAGCCTCCAGATCTGTCAGAACGATCAAAGGAAAGGGGAGAAAGAAACAAAACCGCAGACCCCCAGTTCTCTCCTTCTCTAAGGGGGAATATAAAACGGACACCTTTGTTCACAGTGGCTGAAACAAATGCTTTTTACACCAGGAGCGTTTCCAGTTTCCTTACGTCTTCCCATTTGGATGAAAAGAAATAGAATTTGCTTCCTGTAAAAAGGCCTTTAAAAATCAGGGTAAGCAGCTGGAGCTCCGGCGTAAAACTCAACGCTGGTCTTGATGCTAGCCTGAAGCTTGGAGCTTTCTGATGGTGTTTGGGAAGAAAATGTCTGTATTTTTTACCTTTTGAAGAAAATACTAGTGGAGGTAACAGCTCCAAAGAGGCCCCGAAAAAAACAGGCTCGGTTTTGCTGAGGTGCTAAAGCTGCAGGAGAGACTCTCTGCATCCACAATGCTACGGCAAACTCCAAATTCAGATTGATTATCCTGGGGTTGAAAACAAGCAGAACTCCACAGAGACTTCCCGCTGACTTGGGTCTCCTCCAACTTAGCTAGTGGCGTTTTCCTCATCCAAGAAGTTGCTTTAAGAGACTTTGCTTCGTCTTTCAGCTAAAGAGTGGCCTTTTTTTCCAAATAATCTATATCAAGAGTGCCTCCCTTTGCCCAAGGCTAAAAGGATACCAATGTTCACTTCCATTTGTGCATTCTTTCAGCATCCAGCTAGGAAGATGCATTGTTCCTTCCGTTTTTATAAGCACCGCAACATTTAACTATTCTGACTGGTAACAAATAAAGGAGGGTATTTGTAGCTCGGGGTTGAAATGAGGGGTCCTGGGTGCCCTCTGAGCTTGGCTGTTTTCTTGCAAGTAGGGGATATTTTATTAATTTATATTTTTATTTATTTATTTGTCAAGCGTATATAAGATAACAGGTAAAAGTATAAGCATAATTTGAATACATGAAAAGAGTAAGAACATCTGCAAGAAATCAACCAGAGCCGAGGTGGCGCAGTGGTTAGAGTGCAATACTGCAGCTACTTCAGCTGACTGCTAGTTCAGCAGATCAGCGGATCAAATCTCACCGGCTCAAGGTTGACTCAGCCTTCCATCCTTCCGAGGTGGGTAAAATGAGGACCCAGATTGTTGGGGGCAATATGCTATTTAGTATACTGTTCTTTGGTGTAAGCCGTCCAGAGTCCTTGGAGAGTGGGCGGCATAGAAATATGAATAATAATAATAATAATAATAATAATAATAACAACAACAACAACAACAACAACAACAACAACAACAACAACCAAGCCCAGAGAATCACCAAGGACCTCTTATTCTGACTGGGTTTTCTACTAAGTCTCATTTGAGCCATAGTTTATTTTTTTTAAATGGTGTGATTTAGCTAAGAAGGTAGCTACAAGCACACCAAGCCAACGCACACACATACACAACCAACCAACCCCAAACTAAACTGTATCTGAACACTGATATCTAATTGCTAGTAGATTCTTCTGATGCAACTGGATTTAGGAAACATAGAAACTACCATAGATTGGGCCCAAACACAGTTTCTACGACTGGTGTTTTCAGATTCCCACTCTCTTAAACGAGGGATAGATGGTTCTCTGAAATTTGATCTTTGTATAAAAGATTTGGTGAGATGCCATTTGGTGAAATGAAGGCAAATATACGTGTCCCAGGATACGTATCTGGGTCAGTCACGGGGACAAGAGGTTTGATATCCTCTTGATTACACAAAGAGTAAATAAATAAATACAATGGGCACCCTCAGTGGACAACCCGGCCCGTCTCATTGATTGAGTTTATACCGTGTTTCCCCCAAAATAAGATCCTGTCTTATATTTTCTTTTAACTCCAAAATAAGCATTTGGCCTTATTTTTGAGGATGTCTTATTATTTGGGGGCACATGGAGCAAGATGGGGCTCCTCTTGCCATCTTGCCTGATTTCCAACTCTGCATTTAAATATTTTCAGGGAGGGCTTATTTTCGGGGGGGAGGCTTATTGTAGCACATGCGCTCAAAAGCCCGATTGGGCTTATTATCAGGGGATGTCTTATTTTCAGGAAAACAGGGTACAATCTGGTAGCAGAGAACATCATTTGGGGTGATTGGGAGCCTCACTTAAATGTTTTGGGGAATTCAAGGGCCGCAGTGAGTTTCACAAAATAGTTGAACATGGTTTCC